ATCTACTTTTGAAAGGAATGGACTCAAGAAACCAAAGCTTCCTCTAGTTGGTGATCCTTCATCCGGTGAAGAATTTGGGCAAAAAAAGTGCATTCTGGTTAAAGCCATAGACTCTTTCTTTTATTCTGGTCACATCCTTAAGTCTATGAACCATACACTGATTTCCCTTATTCCTAAAGTTCTGAACCCCATTGATATGAAGCACTATAGGCCTATTAGTCTGTGTAATGTAGTGTATAAAATTATATCCAAAATCCTGGCCAATAGGCTTAAATCTGTGCTAAATTTTTGTATTAGTAAAAATCAAGCTGCTTTTATTCCTGGAAGACAAATTCTAGATAATGTCATTCTTTCCCATGAACTTCTTCATTTCATGAAAAATAAAAGACAAGGGAAAGATGGGTATATGACAGTTAAACTAGACATGTCTAAAGCCTATGACAGAGTAGAATGGAACTTTTTGGATGCTGTGATGGTTAAAATGGGCTTTTGTGGTATGTGGAGAACATGGATCATGAACTGCTTGAATACTGTAACTTTCTCCTTCAACATCAATGGACAGCCTAGGGAATACATTACTCCTATGAGGGGCATTAGGCAGGGGGATCCGCTTTCACCATACTTATTTCTTCTGTGCTCTGAAGGTTTTTCAAATCTGCTAAGACAAGCTGCTGAGAGGAGAAAGCTTTTTGGCATGAAAATAAGCAAAGGTGGACCATGTCTTACTCATCTATTTTTTGCGGATGACTCACTGATTTTTTGTAAAGCTAACAGTGGACAAGCAAGGGAACTGATGACCATATTAAAGCAATATGAGAAGGGATCAGGCCAGAGCATAAATCTGGAAAAGTCCTTTGTCTTTTTTAGCAAAAATATGAACTCTGAGGAGAAGGCAGTGGTGACTCAACAACTGGGAAGCATACAGACAGCTTCACAAGGAAAGTACATCGGACTTCCGATGGTGATTACTAGATCAAAAGAACAGATTTTTGGTTTTATCAAGGACAACATCAGAAATAGAGCAAGCAACTGGAAAAGTAAGATGCTTAGTCAAGCAGGGAAGGAAGTCATGATTAAAGCTATATCCATGGCCATGCCAGTCTACACAATGTCATGCTTCAAACTCTCTAACAAGCTGTGCAGAGAGATAAGCTCTATAATGGCAAAATTCTGGTGGGGAAATTCTGAGGAAAAGAACAAGATACACTGGTGTTCTTGGGAGAAGATGACTCAAGGTAAAAAGTGGGGAGGGCTGGGCTTTAAAGAACTATAGAGCTTTAATAAAGCTCTTCTAGGGAAACAAGTATGGAGAATCCTGACCAACCCCAACTTACTGGTGAGCAAAGTGTTGAAGGTGAAATATTTCAACAATGAATCCATTCTCAAGTGCAAAGTACCAAAACAGTCCTCTTGGATGTGGCAAAGTCTAATGGATTCAAGAGACCTGGTGCAGGAGGGAACAAGAAGAAAGGTGGGAAATGGCAGAAGTATAAACATCTGGAACGATGGGTGGATACCAGGAAATAAGGATGGTAGAGTGCAAACAGACAAACCTCCCAACTGTGATGTGTCTAAGGTTGAAAATTTGATTAGGGGTTTCCGATGGAACAGGTACGTAATTTTTTCAACTTTCAACAAAAAAGATGCTGAAAGATCCTGCAGATACCTGTTAGCTTGTCAGGGAGAGAGGACAGCAACTATTGGATACATAGTGAAACTGGTCAATACACTGTAAAGTCGGGTTATAAACTTTTGTGTGACTGGAGTGAACAAAGGAAAAACAAAGAAGAAGCTCTGGGGGAAACAAGTGTGACAAGCAATTTCAGCAACATATGGAAGAAGTTATGGAAGCTAAATGTAAAAGGAAAATTGAAACATTTTTTGTGGAAGTGCATTAAAGGAATTCTACCAGTGAACTACCAGGTCTACAAAAGGACAGGGAAGGGTGATCCAATTTGCAAAGGATGTGGCGAACAAGTGGAAACCATAGAGCATATGCTGCTTAGCTGCAGGAGAGCTAGGGAGGTGTGGAAGATGGCACCAATTTAGTGGGATGGGATATTGGCACAGTCAGGTAACTTTTCCTATTGGTGGAATGAAGTAGTGGAAGCAGCAAAAAGGAAACAAGGTCAGAGCCACATTGAGCTAACAACCAACATACTTTGGCAAATTTGGAAGGCAAGGAATGAATGGCAATACAACTCAAAGCAGAAACACCCTTCGAAGATTGTTCACAAAGCTCAAAAAGATTGGCAGGAGCAGGTGTTAGCAAAGGAAAAACAAGAACCAATGAGCAATTTTGAAACATCCAGAGGACCTATGGAAGATGTTCAAGCACGAGATGAAGCAAATGAAGTCAATCTGCACATAGCTGTCTATGAGGATAACGACACCAGATGGCTGGGAAGGGGAGTGGTGGCAAAGAATCACAGGGGACAAGTGAAAACAGCTTGGGCCATGAGGGACAAAGGTACAAACATTTCAATATTGGAATTAGCTGAGACAGTAAGGTTAGCTTTAATTAAGGCTAGAGGAAAGAATTGGCCAGAACTGAAGGTTTATATCCCCCACAAGCAGCTTCTGTCATCGTTGATGTCAAGGAAAACTAAAGACATTAGACTGGCAACTATGATAGATGACATCGCCAACTTAGGCTCTTTGTTTCAAAAATACTCATTTTGTTTAGATATAGCAAATGACAATATAAGTAAATCTGTGAGTGCTTATGCTGTAGGCATATGTGTTGATGAGGAATGGAACAATCCTCAAGGTGTCTAACACCTTTGTAAAGTTTCTTGGAGCCGTTGCTCTACAAGTGTATAGTTATGTTTTTGATCAATATATTCCTATCGTTTCAGGAAAAAATATATATATATAGCTATTTCAGCTCCATCAACATCACTACAGGTAAAAGATCAAATTGTTTTAATTTATTGAACTTATTTAGAAGTTTTTTTAAGTACCATATCTTGTTGATCATCTTAATACTTGTCATATTACCATTGAAGCTCCGCACAATAGCATGTGGCCAAGATATAGGTGTTAGATTGCTTGTAAAAGTAGGCTAAAGGGATAATCCTCATATGTAGGTGTTCATTGTCTAATGTAGATGAATCAGAGGTTATGTCTATTGTGGTTGATTTTGACATGCATGTGGTGTGCTTGATGTTTTCGGGAGCAAGTGTTCTGGACATAGACTAATGATGAAGCCTGCTCCTACACTGTACTGTACTGATAGTTCATTGTTGATTATCTGAAGAATTTGTGCTGAGATTTTAGTAGAAATAAAGATGTTTGATCATTGATTAGGGCCTTAGTCAACTGGACCTTGCATGTTTAATTGAATAGCTTTATTTTCCGTTCATGCGAGAAAAATTTCTCATTCTCTGACTTTGTAATGGACAATGAGCATCATTAAACTGGAATTAATCATTATATGAAATTCTAATACTTGAAAGTGTGAAAACAGGATGCCTAGTGTAGTTGTCCATGAATTCTTCACTACAAAGACAAAAATTTCTCATTCTCTGAATTTGTAATGGACAATGAGCATCATTAAGCTTGAATTAATCATTATATGCAATTCTAATGCTTGAAAGTGTGAAAACAGGATCCCGAGTGTAGTTGTCATGACACTATTCTTCACTACAAAGGGAAGAAAATTATAATTCCCAATGTGGATCCTGATGAGTATTCTTACATAGTGCTTCTTAATGATGTTTATGAAAGAGCACTTCATGAAGTTCCTGGGAATTTTAATAATCTGTTACATTTGAGATGTGTTGTTCCAAGAAGTGGCAAAACTATGGATGTGAACACTGAGGAAGTTGTTTTTGAAATGTTCAAGAGGCATGAAAATGAGCTGTTTTTGGATTGGATGAAGAACTTTTGAAAATGGTTCCAAACCCAGTGCTTGCTGTGCTGTTCCTGTATCCCATCACGCCACAGACTGAAGAAGCAAGAATAAAAGAAGACAGCTTGATCAAGGATCCTAGTGCTAGAGTATACTTTATGAAACAAACTGTCGGAAATGCCTGTGGAGCAATTGAGCTTCTTCATGCCGTTGGGAATATTACTTCAGAGATAAATCATGCCGAGGGCTCATACCCGGACAAGTTCTTTAAACTACGGCAAACATGAACCCAGAGGAACGTGCAACATTCCTTGAAAATGATAGAGAAATGGAAGTTGCTCATCCTGTGGCAGCTACTGGTGGTGACAAAGAGGCTAGAGACAACGTGGACACCCACTTTATTTGTTTAACATGTGTGAATGGACAACTTTATGCGCTTGATGGAAGGAGGTTCGGACCAGTTTGACATGGTTCTTCCTCTTCAAGCAGCTTGTTGCATGAAGCAGCTAAAGTTATTCGGAAGATGATCGAGAAAAACCCAGATTCACTGAACTTCAACGTGATGGCCATTTCAAAAAGGGTTTGAGGAGAATAGACGATGCAACATGAACATCCATTGCTGCCATTGAGAAGCTGACCCACCTGACTCGCCTATAAGCTTCTTGGCCTAAACCTGGAGCACTGTTATTTCGCGCTCGTCATTACATGTAATGACAGAATCAGCTTTACTAGAAGTCAGCTAGTTTTATTAAGCCCTGGAAGAAGTCAGCTGTAACTCCAAAGTTACCAAGTTCTAGTTTTGACTGATAATTAAATAATGACTCGTTACTGCTCCTACATACAATGAGGGCAAATTTGGTACAAAATTATGTATCAGCACTTTTTCTCAAATTTTAAGAAAGCTTTTACTGACAGGGACTAAAATTGTTATCAAATATGTCATTCAAGGGGAGGAGAGTGTAATTTTTCATATTAGAGAGTATTTAAGTGTAATTGTCAAAAACCTTGAGGGAGGTTTCTGAAATTATCCCTTAATCCTAATCTCAAAACATGGAACCTTAACCATGGTGAGTGAAAATTGGGCGTTTCAAGGCAGTCCAATTAATAAACTGAACTCTTTTGCAAGGCATTAAGATACATTGCCAACGGTCCTAAAAACAAAAAATCCTTGCAGTTCCATTGAGATACATTAACAATGTGATAGAAAATCCGTCCGTTTATCCGTTTTATCCGAGGACAATATTAGAACACAAAATCCAGAAACCCTACCTTTAGACTACTAAAATAAGAGCATGGATCAGAGATATCCCCAAGTCCAACTGTAAAAGCAAGTAAGCCTGTAGTACTAAACTGAGGATATTATAGAGCATTTATCATTCTTTTCATCTCCGCTGACCTCCTCGGATCTGGTTCTTCAATTGCTCTCTCAGTCAGTACATGCTTTATTCGGCACATCGATTTCCTTACCTGCAATATGGTAGAACGAATCAGTTAACATCCTTACTGTTGTGAATAAACGGTATACTGAAGCTTATTGCTGTGGACATCAAACTGAATTTGTATAACACAATCCTTCCATCTGTGGCTGCAATGCCTCTTACTTTGCTAATACAAAATCAGAGTATAAATTCCTGTTGGTCAATGAAACAGATAGACAAACGACAATCATCCAGAAAGGCACTCATTCTTTTACGTACTTTGACCAAGGACATAGATGCCTGTTGATTAGTCCTGTTTCACCCACAAAACAGCGAATATTCAGAAGCGATAGTATGACATCTTCCTGGAGGAAATCAAACCTCAAATCCAAGATTTTTCTAGTCATCACAAGACCTTTACTATTGCTTCTTGCTTCTTAACTAATGGTCATGTAATTACTGCTTTACAAGGTCTAACATCATCACTTCAAAGCTACTCAAACTGCATCACTGGAAACTCAATCCTACAGTGAGAAGCCCACTTTCAGCAAAAGACATGAGAGAACAAAATGGAAAGTGAGAGAGATACATCACGGAGAGGTGCTTATTTACTTTCATACGGTCTGTGGGAGAGTTGGAAGAGGGTTGGGAAGAGAAAACATTACATGATAGTGTTCACCTCTCCGCAACTGATGAGGCACAAGTTCGCTACAAAAGTTCTGGTGCATTAGCAATAAGTATAACCTCCTAGAATATTGACCCATTGAGGATATCAAAACTTCCAAACAGAGGAATTAAGTCCAGATTCTGTCTAAACCAAGGCCGCAATCAAGTCAGTATAGCATGCATTAATAGTTTAAGTCCTTAATTTCCTAATGAATTAAAAATCTTACTCCCTTAATTCTAATCTTAATGTCATGATTTTGTTTTTGGTATTCCGGTGTCATGATATTATTATGATTATAAATTTTTATGGACTAAAAGATACAAGTTCTCCTAAATATGGTGTAAATAGGTTCATCCGTTCTCTTCTGTAGTTATTTCTAACTGCGGAGACTAATTAACTTCAGAGATGATCAATATCTCGAAAGAAATGGCATTCTTTCACATTGTTATAAAAGGCGGAAAAAATCAACACGAGCAAGTAAACATTTTCAGGGATAATGAAGAAAAATGAAGAATGAAAGGAAGGGCACTTAGACTATAGGACCTTCACAAGCAGAGTTCGTGCCTCAGCTTAACGAACTAATTGGAAAGCAGCAATCAAACTTTCATTCAGCCAAGACTTTTGAATGCATGTTCCTTTTTTTTTAACTTTTTTTTTAAATTCCCCATATGGCATGTTAATATCAACAAACTGCTTGGTGGAGCACTGCCAGTGGCCAATAACATTGATACATGGAACAAAGGTGCATTTTTAGGAGGCCAAAACAGTAGACAAATTAATATTTCAGAATTATCATCTGTCGAACAAACAAGCCTAGAGCTAATAACATCTGAGGATACAAGCCTATTGTACTTTTGCTATTAAATCGCCATATGGTCAACCAAATGCAACAACATGTAAGCGAAAGAACAAAATCTGCTATTAGTCTTCTCATAAGCAATTACAGTTCCAAAATTAGCTCACAAACTTTACTGAATGTCATGGCACATTTCACACAATCATATGGGAAAAAGAAAAATAAGCTTTCTACACTCACTAGAAGGCCTCTGCAACAAGGTTGATTCAGGATGAAGAAGCCATTGAATTTACAGAAAGCTAAGAAGACAGAAATGACAAACGCCAGAATATGAAACCCAACATGATAAAGTAGTAGTTTGGAGTTTTGGACAATGTAAATATATATATATATATATCTTTTCAAAAAAAGATGAAATAGGTGAAAGCCAAGCTACTTGCAGGTATGCAGGATTATTTCAAATAGCCAAACCAATTTCTTGTGTTATACAGGCTGGTAGAAAGATCATCAATGTGACCTAAGGATTAAAGGTCATATACAGGACATAAAACACAACTTTGCACAGCATTGGAGAATGAAAATATGACATAAGACTGAATCATTTGTGGTTGTCATCACCAAATACCCCCATACTTAACTATAAATTCCAGTAATTAACAAAGTTAAAAAGCCAAAATATCAGTTAAATCAGACGGTATTCAATGGCTCAAAGTCACTCACCACAAATGTGGTAAATGAGTTGAGATAGCAGTAATCTTGCAAGTCTTGTACTTGTTGGAAAACAGTTCTGACTTATGTACAAATTATGGCTCTGTCAACCTTTGAAAATCATGAAGCAGCTGAACTAGAAGATTGGAGCAACAAAATAGGCACAAGAGTAAAGATACAAAGCTCTCTAGTTTATAGAGCATTTGAAAGCTTTTGGAAAAAGCATTTCTACACTTGTCTGTTCTGACAAGGAAAAACTAAGAAGAAATAAGAACCCTCAGTGCTAGGGTAACAGAATGGATGCATGATGACTAAAGGCTCAAAGCATATGTCACACTCAGGCTTCAAGAAGAAGAGGATAAGAAGGAACCAGCTTTGGCGATGGCATAGCCATTAGCCAGTGCAATTCAGAACTAAACAACTATCTTGTTCTCTAGAAGTAAGAATTTTATGCACTGTGACTATTATTTCCAAGTTGAAATTCCCCAATCATGTCAAAATTTCCACTCTGACAAATTTAGGTCTCAGGGCTCTCTTAATCCATGAATGTCCATCATTATGTTAATTATTACTTTTTTCCTCTATACTTCTGTAACATTCATGCCATAGAAATACAACAGCCAAAAGATTAAGCGGGACAGTTTTGAATACAAGCATCATACTCACCTAAAGCTACTCCAGCATACCCAATTAATTTTACCTGACCAGAAATTCATAAAAGAGTAGATCCGCTTACCATTCATTTGAACTAAGAAATTGGAACTAGGAAAGACCATAAATGTAAAACAAAAAGTTCATTGCTAAAACATGAAGCATATTAAGGAAAAAGGTCAGAAAACCCCAACCTACTTGTAATGGAGCAAGGAAACTATTTAATTAACTCATTGGTAATTCCAAACATAGAAAACACAACCATTTATAGAATTCAATTTTTTCCAACCTTTCAAGATAAGCTTTTAGTTGAAAAAATAAGAAGAAAAATAAATTTCCAATCATACAGAATTACAATATGCCATTTGTTGATTGAAAAACACAATGTCAGTATTAAAAATTTTGCTGATAAGATCATTTTCAGACAACATATTCGGAAAGATTGAATTATGATATTAATTCCTTTGAGGTTGACAAGAATAAAGATATTATACAGAAGAACTATGAAAAACATGTTCCTAGAACATGCTGTTTCTTCTAGCAATACTGTCAGGTGAAAAGTATGAGAACTTTTTTCTAAAGAAACATGTATCTGACAGATTGTGTTTCTTCTAGGACTTTTGTCAGCAATGAATATGAGGATATGTTTCCTCCAATTAGGTCCCCTTTCTCTCTCTCTCTCTCTCTCTCTCTCTCTCTCTGTCACACACACACACGCACTCTATCTCCCCCCAGGATTACTGTGAGCTGCAAAATAGGAGAGCTTTTTTCAAACGAAAAATATATCTGACAGATTGTGTTTTCTAGGACTAATATCAGCAGCAAAACTCGAGTATATTTCTCCTCTAAGTTGAATCCCTCTCTAATAGGTCTCTCTCTCTTCCCCCCAGGTCCCCCAGGGCTACCATCAGCCACAAAACCTGAGGATTATATTTTTTTCTTTTTCTCCAGAGAAACATATATCAGGCAGACAGTGTTTCTCCTATCAGGTCCTCTCTCTTCACCCCCCCTCCCCCGGCGAGTCCCCTCACTGTACAACTACATTTTCAAATACAAAAATGATTTTTTTCTTGGGAGAAACATGTATCTGGCAGATAGTGTTTCTCCTATCAGGTCCTCTCTCTTCACCCCCTGCTTCTCCCATACCTTCAAGTGAAAAAAACTGTCTATTAAGTAGAATCGTAATCCTAGGAATGTTTCGTAAAGCAGAAAAAGGTGATAGGCTCTGTAGAATTGCTTTCACCTTGTATCAGACAAAGTTTCATGATTAACCAAAGCGATGATGTTCATCACTGCATAAGTATCGAGAAGTTTTCTAGCATAATAAAACTGGGGAAAAAAACTGAAATTGGTTGCTTATTACAATAAAATGCAGAAGATTATAGCAAAGAAACTTTTTCAAGTAAATTGGATTTTATTCTTTAACATAAATGGCACAAATGGCTATATAACAGCACCAGAAAAAGCATTTGAAAAATGAAAGAAAAACAGCAAATTGGAGAATACATAATCTACCTTGGAGATACGTTCTGGATTTGCAAAACGTAGGTTCTGAGCATGAAGCATCTGGCGTTGGGTCATCAACATGTTTTTCTCCTTTAATAGAACAAACCATAACTTCTGAAGATCATCCCATGATTTAAGGCGCAATTCAGAAGCTTTCCAGCCCCTACCTAAATGATAAAATCAGCAGTTATTTTGAATACACAACTGACAAGAAAGGAGTGGTAACAGTATGTTCCATGAACATAAGTTTAACAAAATGCCATACGCTGCAAATACACCATAGAGCAGAATGCAACCTTTTCATTTATTAACCAAGAAAAAACAAGGTCCATAAGCTATATGCTGTAACTGAGATGGAGCAACCAGCAAGAAAAGAAAGTGCAACTGATTTACAATACCTAAAAATTTATTAATTTGAGGATAATCATCTAACAACGGCCTAGGTAACACTAAAAGAGCTCAAGACCCAACAAGCATGGGTGTACAATTATCTCATGCCATCTCTCTCTGGAAAATAAAGGGTGCTTTCTAGAACTCAAGTTTCCACATATCCTGCTATATCATAGACCTTAACTGGTTGGAAAAAGTATAAAGCAACATAGAGTTGCAATAAGAAGAAATATTTGCTGCTGTCTTTTTTATATGTATAGGTTTACTTTGCTGAAATAAGCTATCTTAATTTAATAAAATAAACAAGAACTCAAAAATAGCTCTTTATCTAAATTATTTTAGCATCTTTATAAGAATGATTCAGAAAATAGAACATACCATTATCAAGGAAAAAGTAAAAAGAAAAAAAAAAATCCTAGTCATAAATGCTAAGTCATGCTCAAGGCTGTTTCTAAATGTTGTTTGACATCCAAAGCATCAGAAGCACCATTTTAAGAGGTTGTCACTGCAATCCTCAAAGGAATTGTCAAAGCTTAAGACAGATCAGCTGAATTATTACACCTCCAGAACACAATGCAAAAAAAAGAGATCCTTTTCACTTCTGACATTAATACTTAAGCTTAGATACTACAAGGAGATGCTATACAAACCACAAAGTATTTGTAGAATTTAAGACTGCACCAGTACTTTATTTCCATGGTCAATTTCGGGCTCCAACTTATTAACTTCAGTTTCTTCAATTACATGAAAACCAAAGAACTCAGGATATGATACAGAGAAGAGGTGTTTATACCATATACAACAGGCTTGTCATCATCTGGACTTCTGTCAGCCTCGAAGAAATTCTCAAGAGGGTTATGTTTAGTCCTAGCAGTGGAAGCAGCAGCTGCAGCTGCAGAAGATGCGGATGAAGTGTCAGCCTTGACTGCAGCAAAAAGCGTCCTACCAATTGCTCTGATTGCAGACATTGTCTAGATTGCTCTCTGCAAACATAAGCAAATGAAATAAAAGAGCCATTGAAATTAACAAAAAAATTAAAACCCAAAACTAAAAAAAGAATTAAAAAAAAATTTTCCTCATTCAAAATCAATTGAAAAACCATAAACATAAAAGAAGAAATAAGTGGGATTGCAGCAGTGCTAAAACTTATTCATAGAAAAAAACTAAGGATCGAAGCAGTGCTAAAATTTTTCTCTCACTATTTTAGTAAGAATCTAAATCTGTTCAGAGCAGAAATGGGTCTTTAAATATGGAAAAAGCCCATATCAATTGCTGGATTAAGAACCCAAAATTCTTAGAAGAGACTATCGGTAATTCATCGAATAGGTAGTGCGCAAGAAAATTAGCGCATATGAGCAAAAATTATGCGGATTACTGAATTTCGGCTCTTAAAATGGGCAATCCTTCAACACCCCAAGACTAATTACCACAAAAAAAAATAAAGAAAAAATAAAGAAAAAAGAATGACGAATTACCGTTAGTTCTTGCTCAGCAAAACTAGAGAAAGAGTTTGCCGGACGAGCCAGCTGAAATGATTTTCTTTTTCTTGTTCTTGGAAACTTGGCGCCTAACGTTGGAAATTTGGGCTGATCCAGGTTTTACAATCACATATTGAGCCCCTTTACGTTGCACTTCAGCCCAGAAAAAAAAAAGGCCCGAAAATTGCAATACCAAATTGAATATCCAGAGGGGTTCACCTTCTTTATTTCCTTGTATCATCCTTTTTTTATTACTTTTTTTCTCCCCTTTATTTTGTACCTGGGATAGCCGCTTTCAGGATTGGAGTCTTTAAGGTTTTTAAAATTGAAATCCTACCTATGGTCCCTTTTGAAAGTCATAGGATCAAATCATAGATGGATCATAGAATCATAAGTACCTACTAAAAAATATGAAAAAAATTAACATTTTATTTATTTATAAGCTTATTGTTCATGTGTCGCGCCCCATTTTTTTTTGATAAAATAAATAAATGGTTTGAAAAAAATGTATTTTTTGATTCAATTTGTGATTGGAAAATGAATTGTTATTTAAAAGAAAAATGGGTCTAAATGGGGGTTTGAGAATGCGACGATTTGACCCAAAATTATAGTTTAAAAAGGGTTTTTGAAATAAAAAATCGGAGTCGCCACTTGGTAATGAGTTAAGGTGTACCAAGTCACCTAAAAAAAATGAATTTTTAAAGAAAAATAGGAAAAAATATTAAGAAACCCCTTTTAAACGACTCCTAGTCCACGTAAACCAACGAAAAAGGTTCGGGAGTCACATTTGACGAAGGGGAAGGCAAGGATAAAAATCCAAGGCACCCCTTCGACCTAGCCAAGGCTAGTTGCGTGATTTAATCAAATATTTTCTTGTTTTAACCAAAGAATTTATTACATTTGGATGTACTATATGAATGCAAACCCTAGACCTAGGGGTATTGGGGAAAATTTCTCTTCAAAGGTTGAATGGTGCCAATCACATTAATTGTGAAGCCCAATAATGACCCTTTGGAGAGGTCACGAATAATGCGAGTGGGATGCAAATGAATGAAATGCATGTATGCAATGTGAGGACATGAGTTTGAAAAAGTAATAAAAAACAATAAATATGTAAATGAAAATGTGCACGTGAGCGGGCAAGGTATGGTAGGTGAAATGATAATATGAAGTGCATGTGTGCAAGTGATGATAAAAGTGTTCGTGTGCAAGTGAAGAAACATAAAGGTGCACGTGTGCAAAATGGGAGGAAAAATGAAAGTGTGATGAGGGTATAAAATGGTAAAGTGGATTTGAAAATGCATGAGCCTAGGGAATTCATGCATATTGGGTACGGGGAGACCTAAATCGTGACTCAATTTGCCCTTTTATAGAGGGAATACAAGCGTGCTAAGTCTTAGAAAAAGCCACACTCGTCTATATCCCATATTTAAGGGGACCCTCAAGCAGATGAACCCTATAACTAGCATGAAATGCAAAAATCCTAAAATGGAGGGAAAAGGGGTTCGAGGGGCATGCAAAATGATAAAATTAAAAAAAATGCATGACATGTAATGAACATGCAAACATGTACTAACGAGGGGAAGTCCCTAAGGGTTTAGCGTTGGACTAGCCCATTCTATGAATTCCGACTAGCGTTGGACTAGTGGAAACGTACATTCATCCATCACATTCATTTATAAATATAGAAAGCAAGTAGACATGCAAAATCACTTATAACACGTAGCACATAACACTTAGCATGCTCGACTAGATGCAATAGCTTAATAAAGCGAGTAACACGTAACACATAGGCATGCAACCAAACTAATGAACTTATTACATTCACTAATTAAAACAAAAGGGGAAGGGGAAAATGGACCAAATTGCTCGCCAAAGCCCTATCTATTACAAGCCAAGAGGTGTACACATACCCCATTAAAAGAATAACTTCATGAAAATGAAAGTAAATGACATAAGTAAAAGGAATTAAGAAAAAACTAGGAAAGCAAAGTAGGCATGCAATTCACTTAACACGTTGGGTCATATAGGAGAGATAAACAAAGATAAAAGAAATTATACCTTCCCCTAATGGTAAGCAAATGAAGGAAAATGGCTTCAAAACAATAAAGAGGTCAAGGCATCAATTTAAAAGTAAAGTATAAGCAAAAACACCAAAACCCACCTAATTGCGACTTGAATGAGCTCAAAAAATGCTTAAAGACCAAGAAAACGGAATAACCCGTTCAATTTCCAAATATAGCATCTACTAAAGACCCAAAACAAGCATTACTCAAACATTCAAGTCCAAATAAATCGTTTAAGCACTTCAAAGATTCCAAAAATAAAGAAAAAGAGCCAAACAATGATTGAAGTTGCAATGATTTTAGGACTTAATTACAAGATACTAAAACATGCTTGGGCTATTGTGGCACAAAGAGAAACTTAGAGGGATCAAATTAATTGAATTCTTCAATTTGCTTGGGCCATGGTAAGATAAGGAGAGACTTAGGGGGCCAAAGCGTAAAGAAAAGGCCAAGGAATGGTTCAATTTGCACTTTTAGAAACCAATTACAACCATCAACAACCACTCAAGTCTAATTAACACATTTTGGGAAATTCACAAGCTCAAAAGCAAGGAAGGGGGCCAAGTCATGACTCAAATTGCAATTATTTTAGAACCCAATTGTAAGCTACTAGAACATAGTTGGGCCTTAGTAATATGCGGAGGAACATGGGGGACTGATTTGCAATTTTTTTTGAAACTTTTTACATGTCAAATTCATGCAACAAAGAAAACAACGTAAACAAGTTTCTGCAATAAACTTTCGGCAGCTTCCTCTTGTAAACTTCATGCCAGATTTTAAACAAACTAACTAACTAACACCAACTCTCAAACACCCTTGACAACTGAACATTTTTGTTAACTCAATCCCTTCATAAACAACCAACCCTTAAAATGAAATGAAAGATCAAATGATGAACCATATTGCGGCAGAAAATAGAACTTGCTGGAAATTTTATTTCCCAAAAACGCAGGTTCCCATCCAAATGCCTAATTTTGATCTAAACTTTGTTCCCCAGATACCAAAATGGAAAACTAAGCAACCAAAATAAGAACTTCCGCATCTAAAAAGGCCAAAAACTTAACAGGATATCACGCCACATTCTGAAAGAAAAACATGTTTCAAAATCTGCTACAACTAAAGGAGAAGTCTGCTGCAGCTTCATTTACAAATGGGCTCTAGACAGCCTTAAGTATAACCATTTCATTTGTCCAAACTCTGGATTAAGCAATCAAAACAAATAAAACTCACATCCAACAAGCAAAACATAGAAGGAAATTATATAAAACACTTATGGAACTTTTAGGCAAGATGGAAAAAGATTGCTGTAATCTTATTGATTCACTTTGAGTTAAGCGCATATGATATAGCAAGGGTGAAATATCTTGAAGACTTTGCTGGACAGCCTCAATAATAGCCTTTGGTATATAAAAATCCTCCAAACACACACTAAACCCCTCGGAATACAGATTTTCCATCAACAAGGGTGTCAAACAACTGAAGAATCTTAACACCTCCTTAGGACCTTTTTGTAAAGAAATGAGAACATGTTTGGGCTTTTGTGGAACATGGAGAAGCTTGAAGGATTAAATTGATTAAGTATTCAAATTACTTGGGCCATAGTGAGCTAAGGGGGGACTTGGGGGGGTTCAAAGGCAATTTTGAAACAATTTCCATGCAGGTTCATGCAACAAGCGTAAGAAACTTGTTTCTGCAACAATCATTTTTGCTGAAAGCTTTCTGCAGCCCAAAACAACATTGCTACTTTCATTTCCGCAAAACAAATGTCAACCTCGACACAAACTTAATCAAAATTCTTTCAAATCAAACCAACTTCATTTCCGCAAACAACTTCAACATTCAATCAAACCAAAACATAAAAGAAAAATCATGCAAATGCCATGAAGAAAATTTCTGCTATAACCATTTCGCAGCTTCAGGAAAAATCTTTCCTTCCACAACCATTCTCATGCAATTTCTTCTTACACTTAGACATATTCATGCAAACAACCAATAAAAGGCTTGATTGAACTGTCATCTAGACAAGATACCAGCTTGGAACCGAAATGAAAGAGTAAACAAAAAAAAACTAAAACCGTAAGACATGAAGATTCGGCCAGCTATGTACATTTTCCAGCAATGTTTCTTGCCATTCTTGTGGTCATTCTAATGCAACTTTTCCATCCAAACAAAAACTAGAATCTTAAACAAACATCATAACTTTGATCTTAACAATAAAATTACCAAATTCAACATCCTAATAAGCCAAAACCTAAACAGAAAAACACACCAGTGCTTAGAGAAAAGTCCAGCCAGCATTCGGCAATTGGAGTTGTTCATTATTTCATTTTTTTTCTTGCTTAGCCGGACCAATAAACTTCCTTAGCTTGAACATCTAATTTTAATTAAACATCTAACCAAGTGAAAATCAACCACTTTCCAGCAAATTTCATGCTAAAATACCCATGCAATTTCCAAAACAAACTTCAACGGCTAAACTAGAAAAATTGGTTTAGCAATCCAGCAACTTCCAATAAAATTTCCAGCCATGCAACCAAATTCCTCAGCCATAAAGATCACATGCAACACCAAATAACAAACTATCTATCAGATTGGATCCAAAATCAAGTTCAAATGTCATCAAAATCACCATTTAACCAGAAATTCAACCCAATTCTCTCGATTGACATGCATGCAACCGGATTTTTGGTATTCCTTCAATTTTCTTGTTTAATCCAAGTTAATTAGCTTCATGCAGAGCTAGATCATCCAGGCTTTGGTTAGTTAAACATACATATAGCTCAGATCATCAAAACTTGGTCAACCGAAGCTGCAAATTTCCAGCTTAAACTCTCGGCAACCATTTTCTTCACAAACAGATTTTTCTATAACTTAAGTTATCATCTAACCACACAATCCTCACATGCATGTCCTTAAACAACTTCATCAACCCATAAACAACTAGTTTAAGTCCAGAAATTTACCTCAGCTTAAGACTTAGCTCACACGCCAAGCAGCTGCAAAATTTTCCTCCTCTCGGCTTTGCTCACGCACGCAGGGTTGGTTGGTCTGAGTTCAGTGGTTGCAGTTGTAGTGATTGTGGTTGAATTGAGCACGGCTGGTTGAGGTGAAGAAAAATGGCAGCTCTCAGATGATGGAGAAAGTAATGAAGCTC